TCCCTCTCTCTTCCTCTCTGTAAAAACTCAATAAAATATCTTTTTTTTAAAGGATGAGAAATATTCTCAGTTAGATTAAGCATACAGATATGTAATAGCTCTATATATTAAATGCTAGTTCCCTTACACTTAGCAAATAGGAAAAATATGTAGGCAAGTGGGGCTTAAGAGATCCTCTTCTCTGTTCCAGAATTTTCTTACACTGTTTGGGAACTGTGAATTCACTTCCATTTGGACTATCATGTCACATCCTACTTTCAAGGTCTGTGCCACTAATTACAGAATAGTCTGCCCCTCTACCTAGTAATTGAACAAAAGTAAAATCAGTAACATTCCTTTTGGAAGAAGTTTTCTCCAATAAACTTACTGAGAAACAGCTGAGGCAATTCATTTACCAGGAATAGGCCCTTTGACCATGTGGTAACTCTCTCATCTTGTGCTGTGAGTATAATGGGTGAGGGGAGGTCTTTTAAGATGCTCCTCTGGATGGAAAGAGTAATTTCCAAAATTAATTAGGGATAAAGAGAGATCCTGCATAGGCAAAAGTGTATTTGGATGGTATATCAGGCTGCTTACAGCAGCAAAGCAAAAATCCAATTTATAGCAGTTTAAAGAAGAGCACGCATCACCTCACACACGTAATGGAATCCTCTGGAGACAGGATTGCATCAGACCAGAGCAGAAGCTCCAAGACATCTCATCCCAAGCAAACCATACCCTCACTAACATGTTCAATGGCAGAAAAGGTGGCTTTCCTGCTCTGGATCCTTTCATGAGAGAGGGAAATCTTTCTGAGAAACCCTGAGTTTCCCTGGCCATCAGAGTGTACTGGCCAATTCTAGGTCATATGTGCATGCCCTAGGAAGTTAGGAAAATGCAAATCTGGCATTTACAGCCTCTACACATGATATTTGCTTAATAAATTTTATTAATCTTTCCTAACTAAAAAAGTTTTACTATTTGGCTATCTAAACTGAAACTTACTAAGGTCTTTGAAATAACCTTAACTTGATTGATTTTTCCACCCTTCTAAAATCCAAGTTTATCTACATTAGTGCTACTTTGAGAGTTAACATTTCTAAAGCATTTTCAGATCATCAACTAGGTCCTAGTACTATTTTCTAAAAAGTTATATTACCGTATTTTCCGGCATATAAGATGACTTTTGAAATGAAAAAAAGTCAACCGAAAATTGGGGGTCGTCTTATATGCCGAGTATATCCCGAAAAACATCTCGATATGCTGCTAAACGAATTTTCCAACTCGATCCCTCACCAATCACTGCAAGGCTGCTCGGACTGCCTCTCTAACTCAGCCAATCCAAGCAGGCTTTTTATGCATGCAAATTACACATGTTCTGTACCCGAAGCTACACTGTGTTCTAGTAAAAAGCCTGCTCAGATTGGCCAGAGTCAGAGAGGTGGTCTATTAAAAAAAGAACTGGTATTGCCTCGGAAGTGGGGGTAGTCTTATACAGTGAACATAGGCCTAAACCTATGTTTTAACTGTAAAATTAGGGGGTCGTCTTATATGCCTAGTCGTCTCATACACCGGAAAATACGGTAATGTAAGTTGGCCAATGTGGCTCAGTTGGTTGGGTGTCATCCTGTGGACTGTAAGGTCACCATTGGATTCCCTGAGAGGGCCCATGCCCAGACTGCAGGTTCAATCCCCAGTAGAGAGCGTTTGGGAGGCAACCCATCAATGGTACTCTCTCATATTGATGTTTCCTCTCTTCCTTTCCCTTCCTCGCTCTCTAAAATCAACAAAAACGTATCTCAATATAAATTACATTACTGCTTAACTACAAAAAAGAATCTCAAAGCAAATTATAAGGCTAAAGTGATAACAAAAGTATATCTGATACAAATGCTGCACGTTTTCTCTAAAACAACCTATGCATGAATTTTTATTATGTTTTTCTCAGAGAAACTTTAAGTACTCATTAACCTAAATATACTGTCATGACAAAGTCCTTATCCTAGAATTAATAAAATGTGTTTCTACTTCCAGAGCAAAAATAGATGAGTGGTCAGCTTGAACTTTCTTACAGCATTAAGCATCTGCCAAATTACTCAGAACCCTCTTAGGAAAAGCCATGATCCTCACATACTAATTAAATGAGCCAATGCTTTAATCACACATTAGATAACTAATCTATTTCAATCCTGATAATCTAATTAACTAATTCTGATAAATAAATTCCAACCTTAGTCCAAAATGATTAGAGGATTAAAGTTTAACATCAATGAATACAAACTGAAAGAGGCCCACTATAATGAAGTTCAAAATGTTTTTTTCTCCTATTAAAGAGTCTGTTTATAACTTGAAATTCAAGAATTAAAATACAAGGTTTTCTAAACCAGTTCTAATATTGTATCTCTTGTAATTATGTTAAGTGAATTCATGCTTGTTGGATTAAAATTCCCAAACAGGGCACTCTTCCAATTATTCTACGTAAAACAGTTTTACCATCTTTACCCCAACCCTTGCTATTTCTTCCACATCACTTTTCACCTATTTCATGCCTTTCTGTGTTGTCCTATGTTGCTTCATAAGACACATGATAAATTATTTTGGTGCTCTATCTTCAGTGCCTAAAATAGTGCCTAACATCCAGAAACTTAGTAAATGTGAGAGAGGAACAAATGAATGTCTTAGACCAGTGGTTAGTGAACTGCGGCTCGAGAGCCACATGTGTCTCTTTGGCCCCTTGAGTGTGGCTCTTCCACAAAATACCACTTACGGGCACACAGGTACAGTGCAGCTGAAACTTTGTAGCCCATGTGCAAAGTCAGTTTTCGGCTCTCAAAAGAAATTTAAATCGTTATGCTGTTGACATTTGGCTCTGTTGACTAATGAATTTGCTATGGACTATACTATTTTAGATATATAGACTCACTAATAGAAAAATTTTATTTTACTTATCTACATTTATTTACATTTTTAACTATGGTATAATAATTTCAATAGCACAAACAAAAAAATCACAAAGCAAAAGAAAACAAACAATTGCTACTAACACCACTGCTACCACAGAGGCAGCCATCGTTATAAAGTCCATTATGTTGGAATGATTGGAGCATCGTCCCATGCATAAAAGCTGGAAGGTTCGATTCCCAGTTGGGCATGTGCCAGAGACAAAGGATCAATGTTTCTCTCGAACATCTCTCTTTCTCTCAATCAATTTTAAAAATAAAAAAATCCTCAGGTGAAGCTTAAAAAAAGCCCTGGCCGGTGTGGCTCTGCTGGTTGGAGCATAGTCCCATATACAGAGAGGTTGCTGGTTCCATTCTCCATCAAGGCACATACCTAAGTTTCTAGTACGATCCCCAGTGGGGACACTTACAAAAGGCAAACCAATCAATGTTCTCTCTGACATCAATGTCTCTTTTTCCTTCCCTTCCTCCCTCTAAAATCATTTTTCTTTTAAAAAGGAAAAATAAAAAATAAATAAAATAAATAAATAAAAAGGAAAGAAAAATCAATAAGCGTAACCTCAGGTGAGGATTAAAATTAATAATAATAAAATGTTTTGTTTTAACCTTGGAACAATTTAATTCTAACAACAAACGATGTGGATATTAGTTCCAGCTTATGAATGAGGAAACTAAGGACAAAAAAGGTACAGTAAGATGCCCCAGATGAAACAGAGAATAAATAAATTGATCTAAAACATAAAAGATCTGGCTCCTAATGTTGTCCACTTGTCTTTGTCCTTTAGTGATGTCCAAGTATCACTAAAGGACAAAGACAATTTTATATCAAAATAGCAGGTACAAAGCCTATTTATATAAAGAGCTGAAGTCACGGTACTCACTGATTCCTACAACTGAACAACAGCCTGCAAGAACATGGGACATGTTTAAAAATTAAACATCATTTGAGTCTTTCTTCCAAAAGAAATACCAGAGAGTCACTAACTGGTCTAGCAAATAAATGGAGTTAAAGTATAAGTACCTTACATTCATTTAACCTGGCCTTAGGTTAAAGTATCCAGTGAGACTCCAGTATGTAATTTCTCCCTAATCCAATTCTATATCTTAATTTCAGCCAAAATCATTTCCCAGTCTTTCTACTGATTGCTTCTTCATTAGCTTCCATTTTACATTTTTCATCTAACCTATTTATTTACAATTTTTATATGACTGGTCAAGCTCATTTTTTGGTCCATGAAATAAATGTAATTGATTCTGTGTGCTAGTCATGGTTTCTTAGACATTTACTCGTTACTTCTACCCACATATTTTACCTTTTCTTAGAACTGGTAGCCAAGTTAATACTCAATGCTCCTTTCGATTTCTATACTTATAATCTGCTATAACTTTCTCCATAGGAAAACTCACATTAAAGATATGCCTCCACGCCACTGTAATATATCCGGATTTAAGCAGTTAAGAGTAAAATCAGTCTCACTTTTCTATAATACAAATATCATCTCAATTTACAAGTGATAGAAAGTCAATAAACATCTTAATTCACTATTAAGAAAAGTTGTCTAACAGTAAATAAATCAACTAATCACAGTGTTTCTTAGCAATGTGAGTGGCTGAAATATAAAAGCAGTTTAAAAATTATGAGAACTATTTTTTAAATTAAACCATCTTATAGTTCTTGCCAGGACCGGTTTGGCTCAGCGGATAGAGCGTAGGCCTGCGGACTGAAAGGTCCTGTGTTCGATTCCGGTTGAGGGCATGTACCTTGGTTGCGGGCACATCCCCAGTAGGGGGTGTGCAAGAGGCAGCTGATCGATGATTCTCTCTCATTGATGTTTCTAACTCTCTATCCCTCTCTCTTCCTCTCTGTGAAAAATCAATAAAATATATTTTTAAAAAATAAAAATAAAAAATAAACCATCTTATAGTTCTTGTTTCTTTAATTATACACTCAAAGTCCTCTTGTTCCAGTTCCTCACAAGCTTACCCACTTCATTAGACAAATGCATTGTTTTTCATACTATCACATGTTTTAGCAGTTTTCCACTTGACAGTTTTACTTACTGTCTTCGAAGCAGTATTAATGTACTGCATCACCATTTCTTTTTTGATACTGAAGTCTTTTTCCCGCAATGGTGCTTTCTTATCTTCATTTAAATTCATATCTTCCTGGAAAACACAATTAAAAGCCTCATTTTAGAATCTAAGTAGAGCAGCCACTCTACATACACTATGAATGGAAAATCAATTTGTGACTAAAGCAACATTAATTGTTTTGGAATGATTTACGTGTAGTTCTGACTGGAGAAGAGAGAGAGAAAAAGAGCTGAGGTATAGAGGGAAAGTATTCTAGATCATCTTTAAAAGTAAAACACTTACCAAAACAGCTTTTTAAATTCACAGCAGGCTAGTAAAATTACATTCACATCACTGTAGATAATTAGGCAGTTGAAGATATCTGCCTTTCATAAAGTCAGTAGGATTTAGGATTAACAATTTCAACATATGTGTGTATATATGTTTTTACAACTGTACCTGAAGCTATCTCATACCATGTTGAAAGAGCTGCTCCATGTATCATAAAAATTAAAAAGTAAATAAGCCAACCACTTTAGAGATACTGAAAACTACAAGCAACTATTATAAAATACCTAGTACTGATTCCAAGTAAGTGAAGCATTCTATAGTTTTAATCTTTTTCTCCATCACATCTGAAATATTCATCAACTACTTAACTTTACTCAATGTTCTAAATTATATAAAAATTACACTTATAAAAAGAGGTTACCACCTAAAAATCTAACATTGATCAAGTACCATTCAAAAAAGGGTTTAAATGACCTAGATGTTGCTATAGGCAATTCCTCACTAAAAATACAAGTCACATATATTCACATAAATATAAGAATTGTTACCAGGATCTATCAATTAAGTTGCTAAAATAAAAGGCTATCTGGCAAAGGAAAGGAACTTAAGACAAAGAGGCTGAAGGAGAAGATCAGATTTCCTCCTGATCTTAACCTTGAGTTGTGATACGCAATGTAAAACACCTGAATGTATACAAATGCCATATCCACTTAGAAATGAGACCATAAAATTCAGAACGATGGATCACCTAAGGAGCCCAGCAAGTTAAATGTCTCCCAAGTTTTAGAGGGTGCTACAATTCATTAGACACTATAGTTTATGCCATTAGCTGACTCAGTTTTTGGCTACCAAACTATTCAAGCACTTAAAAGTCAAAATTCCCTTCGTTGCACCTTGATATAAATATTTAGAATCTTATAAGTTGTTCCATTTGACACTCCAGTAAATGGTAGTAATTAGTAATGTCTCTCTTGGCTATTCTAATTAGTAATATCCTATTATGTGAATAATGGTTTGTTTTGTTTCTTCTTTTCCCCCTCTAAGCCAGTAGTTCTCAACAGTCTTTAACACCATTTAGGACACATTTGGAAAATATCTGGGGCATTCTGAGGTGATGCTACCAAGATTTGCTGGGGGAAGGTGTGCTGGACTTTCTGTAACATACTTTTGTTAGTCCTATATAATAAAATAAATAAATAACAAACAAACTATCCTGTTTCCCCAAAGACAGATAGGAGCACGTATCTTAAAAAATAGAGAGAGGAAAGAGAGAGGAAGAGAAAAAGAGTAAGAAAAGTTTTAAAAAAGAAGCCAAATCCCACTGGGTGGCTCAGTGGGTGAGCATTGACTTATGAACCAAGAGGTCGCAGACTTGGTCCTGGATTGCAGACTTGATCCTCAGTGTGGGATATGCAGGAAACATCTGATCAATGAGTCTCTCTCACTGATGTTTCTCTCTTCCTCTCTGAAGTATGTGTATACTTAAATAATAAAATAAAAAAGAGAAAGTGAATCATAATTATCTAAGCCTAAATTCTAATTCAATGGAATTAGATGTTAACTGGAATTCATATGTAAATTGCTGCATATTAAATATTTCTTATTGTGTGGTCTTAATATACATTGGATTTTCCAAGAATCGAATTACCAATCTATAAATTAGTCACTACAGTCACACTTTCTTTGAGTGTTTTCTTTTTTCTCACTTTACCAATAGTTGTGCTCCATTTCTGAAATTTAGGTATCCCAGGGCAATACTGCTTTTGATATTTGAATCACCAGAACACTGTATCAGCCTACAATGTAGCTGTTGTACTCACAGGGCATACGGTAGAGATTCAAGGGTGTGACTGTGTTGAACCTTCTTGAGTAGTTATGGCCCATTGTTTATATTGAAATAATATTGTATTATTATACAGAATAGTGAGATGTCATATTGTTTTTCTAAATTATAAGTATAGATAATATAAGCTGTCTATAAAGATTTTCACTGAAAAAGAAGGAATGGAGATGTTAGGGAATAATTATAACTAAAGGGGTGGGGGGGGTCTAAGAACATTGAGAACCTGTTTTAAATTACTCACTGCTAGTGGCCTGCTGCACAGATTCATGCACTGGTGGGGTCCTTCAGCCTGGCCTGCACCCTCACACAATCTGGGACCCCCTCAGGGGATGTCAGACTGCCGGTTTCAGCCCAATCTCCGAAAGCCAGGCTGAGGGACCCCACCAATGCACAAATCTATGCACCCAGCCTCTAGTATGCATATAACATCATTGGTTAATCTCTTCCCACCCTCCCTTTTTTCCCTTTCCCTCTGAGATTCATCAGTCTGTTCCATGTTTCCATGCCTGTGCATTGAGCATGTCCCCTGGTGATCAGTGTGCATCATAGCTAGACACATGTACATTGAAATACCTACTACACTGCATAAGTATAAAATGACACTAAAGCTGCAGATTTTAAAACAGCTCTGAAATGGTAGTTTACCTCAATATAGCAATATATTGTTACATGTATACAATTCATTAAATATCTATTAAGAAAACACTGAGCAGAAAATACATACAACATATAATTGTATAGGGCCTGGTGAGCAATTTGAATGAGGTCAATATTTCAGTATTGAGAAATAAATATCTACTCTTTAAACGGAAAAAAAAAAATCTTAACAGTTGGCTATTTAACTGAATATTATCTCATTCAAAACTATAACTTAAGCAGTCATCAAATCAAACTTCAGTTTCTATCTGTCTGAAGAGTAATTGTTTTTGTTGTTAAAGCTCTAATACTTTAACAACATAGATTGTAAATCAACTTTTTCTAATTAAATTTATTGGGGTGACATTGGTTAAATTTATATAGGTTTCAGGTATACAATTCTATAATACATCATCTGCATATTATACTGTGTGTTCACCAAATCAAGTCTCCCTTTATTACTATTTATATCCCCTTTACTCTCTTCTACCACCCTTTTCCCTCTGGTAATCACTATCCTGTTGTTTGTGTCTGAACTATTGGTTGTTTGAGTTTTGGGGGGAGGGTTTTGGTGTTTTGTTGTGTTTTTGCTGGTTTGTTGTTTTTTTTGCCTTAATCCCTTCAACTTTTTCTCCCAGTCTCTCGCTTCTTCCCCCACCTCTGACTGCGGTATGTCCTCTGTATCTATGATTCTATTTCTATTTTGTTAACTAGTTCATTAGATATTACATATAATTGGAATCATATGGTACTTGTCTTTCTCTGGCTTTATTTCCCTTGACATAATATTTTCCAGGTCCATCTATGCTGTCACATATTAGGTCTAGTAATAATTAATGTCGTTTTCTAATACTTTTTTAAATCTAATTTATTTAAACAACAAAATTTAATCAACAATATAGTTGCCGTTGTTTTCTACTACTTGTGCCCAATGCTCAGGAAGCATTTTAATCCCTCTGTTGTAAAATTCTTGTGATTTTGATGCAAAAAATTCGGTCAATGCATTTTTGAGGCATTCTTCATTATTAAATTTTTTTCCAAGAAGAAAGTTTTGCAAAGAACGAAACAAATGGTAATCGGAAGGGGCAATATCAGGAGAATATGCAGGTTGAGGGAGAACTTCCCATTGCAACTGGCGCAGTTTTTCAGCAGTGATTCTTGCAGTATGCGGTCGTGCGTTATCATGGTGAAGAATTATGCCCTTCCGATTAATCAGCGCGGGTTCTTTTTCTCTTAAAGCTTGGGCTAACCTTTCCAATTGGGCACTATACACTGCACTTGTAATGGTTTGGTTAGATGGTAAAAGTTCATAATGAAGAATTCCTTTAAAATTCCACCAAACACACAACATCACTTTTTTCGCATGCAAGTCAGGTTTTGGCGTGGGCTGCGGAGCCTCATTTTTGTCCAATCATTGAGGCTGCCTTTTCAAATTAACATACAGCACCCATTCTTCATCTCCGGTAACAATTTGCTCTAAAAACGGCAAACGGTTTTGACGAGAGAGGAGCGAACTGCAAATTGTGACTCTTTGATTACGGTTGTTGTCGGTCAACTCATGAGGAACCCATTTTCCAAACTTTTGGACTTTGCCAAGTGCACGCAATTGATTGGAAATTGTTTTTTGTGAACAATTTAAAGTTGTCGCAAGCCTTGTTGGGTAATTTGAGGATTTTGCACCAAAAGAGCTTGAAGAGCTTCTTGATCAAAATTGGACACACGGCCTCGACCACTCTTGTCATCTAACGAAAAATTTCCCTCGCGAAATTTCTCAAACCAACGCTGGCATTTTCTGGCGCTAACTGCATCTTGACCAAGAGCACTACAGATGTTTTTTGCAGCCTCACTTGCTTTTCTTCCTAATTGGAACTCGTAAAGCATGCAGTGCTGAATATGCTCTTCATCCGCCATCTTCTTAGCCCTAGTTTTGCAACAAAAACCAAACCAAACACAAACTTTTTCAAGCAAAACTTGTTAATTGCACTTCACACGTTCTGTAGATACCACGTGTTTGAAGGTTATGTCAATACAAGTCAACGCCAAGCAAGATTTTAAACGAATGTTTAAAAACGACATTAATTATTACTAGACCCGATAGTATTCCACCATGTAAATGTACACAACTTTTTTATCCACTCATCTACTTATGGGCACTTGGGCTGTTTCCAAATCTTAGCTATTGTAAATAACACTGCAATAAACATAGGGGTGCACATATTCTTTCTAATTAGTGTTTTGGGTATCTTTAGATATTCCCAGAAATGGAATCTCTGGGACATAAGGTAGTTCTATTTTTAACTTTCCACAGTGGTTGCACCAATTT